TTCCTGCACCACATTCAGCACAAAACCAGCATCATTACTCTTCATGGAAGCATGGGGAACAAGGCTTAAATGACAAAGCACAAGGAAGAGCTAGCATTCACACACAGCACTGATCTCCAGGTCAACACCAAAGTACTACATTTGCAGGTTCTTAGCCAACAATACTACCCAGCTAGAACTGGCACTCTGGTTTTTGATCCCCAAACGCCTGCCCTGCTACTCAGAGGGGAAATGGCTCAAGCAGGGTCACTTGTGCACACATACAGCAGCGCTAACCAGCATTCACCTGCCAGACACAGCTCCCTGACCACTCGCAAAGCACTTGGAAGGTGCTAGACAAAGCAGCAAGAGTTTGAAATGCCATGCAAGAAGCAATGCTTAAATCTCACCCAGGGCAAGTTCTTTCTCCTGCTAGCAGCCTCTACTACTCGGAACAGCTTCCACTCGGTCAGTGTGACAGGCATGGTTGTGTCCTTTACCATTTTCCTTTGGAAACTTTTCTGGGAGGTCTTTAGCTCAAGAGTCTTGCGACTGAGGAAGGGAGGTTTTGGGGGAGGCTAGAAAACAGAATCAGAAGAGATGGTTAAGCATGGGATTAAGCTTTGGTTAATCAGAGGAGTCTGATTACAAATTATAAATTTCCTGCAGACCCCTGCTCTACCAAACTCTCCATCCCACCCCCACCCCGCATACATACTCAAGCATCTCATCAACACTCTCTTGTCTCTATTCTTCTGCTCCTTAGCCGCTTAATCAACTGCCACTGCCATGGCTGTTCATTATCATTTACATTAATAACAAACAATACAAAATAAGGAAAACCAATGACATAGCAGTGGGGGATGTGGGGCCAGGGGGTAGCACAAAATAGTGCCCTTGTGAGGATGACTCTCATGTGACAATTTAATCCCCTCACCCTACCTTGGGAGCCCTACTGGTGCTTCGAGGGGGTGGTAGCTTTGAGACGGATGGGACCTTCCACAGGGGTAAGGGCAGCGCTCTGATATCTTCATAGGGGTTCTCTTTTGCAGGACCTGGAAAAAACATTGGACGGGGGATTTATGAAAGGAGATGAAGGCCTGCATTCTTGCAAGGGGTGTAAGCAGGGAGAGTGTGCCGTTGTCTGTCAAGCTTTAATAGGGTCTGAGACACACCTGTTTTAAGATGAATTAGGTTCCTACCACTCAAAGATCCTTCTAACCACCCACCATCAACTTGGCAAACTGTACACAGACTCAGCAATACAAAACACTTCTACCACAGCAGAGAAAGGAGCTCTATTGCAAAGCAGCCAATTTTGTCAGTGTTCACACTGATCTCTGTGCAGCACTTGAGCAAAGGATTTGAAGAGCTAATAAAGAAATCAGTTTAGCACAGGCCAATTCTAGCGACCTTCCATGACATCTGAAATCAGGCTGCTCACATGCAGATAGTTACTAACCCCACATGGGGAAGACCTTAGAAGTCCCAGAACTGGAAAGGGCCTCAATGCATCCTCATCTTCATTCTTCCCTCCCCAGCAAATTTGCTACCCTTAATTAAAGGGAGTGCATCCCCCAGAAGCACAGACACATACAGATAATGTCCTCGTAGATGTTGTCTTCTGACTGTGTGTAGACAAGCCTGGATCTTGTAGTGCCGTTTGTCTCTTCTCGAAGTCTGTGGGAGTTGGTAGTTGCCATCTGGTTGCGGAAGCCCTGGATGTCCTCAAACTCAAAAGATTTCCTAGAGGAAAACCAGTGCAACTTCTTCTAAAGACACCTGCATGTACCAGTAAGTTGCTGTCTCCAGTCCACACAGAGTACAGTCCTGCTTGGGGCCATCAAGCACATGGATGCTCCACTCTGGACTCTCTGATTTCCAAGTGTTGAGGTTTAACCCCAGGCGGCAGCTCAGCCCCACCCAGCCACTCGCTTGCTCCCTCCCGCCCAGTGGGATGGGGGGAGAGAATTGGAAGGGTAAAAGTGATAAAACATGTGGGTCGAGATAAAGACAGTTTAATAGGTAAAGCAAAAGCTGCACACGCAAGCAAAGCAAAATAAGGGATCCATTCACTACTTCTCCTCAGCAGGCAGGTGTTCAGCCATCTCCAGGAATGCAGGGCTCCATCACACGTAACGGTCACTCGGGAAGACAAATGCCAGAACTCCCAATGTCCCCTCCCTTCCTCATTCCTCCCCCAGTTTTTATTGCGAGCATGACACCATATGGTATGGGATATCCCCTGGGTCAGTTGGGGTCAGCTGTCCCTCCGCTGTGTCTCCTCCCAGCTTCTTGCCCACCCCCAGCCTGCTCGCTGGTGGGGTGGGCTGAGAAACAGAAAAGGCCTTGGCTATGTGTAAGCCCTGCTCAGCAATAACTGAAACGCTGGTGTGTTATCAATACTATTTTCATACAAATCCAAATCATAGCACCACGCAAGCTACTATGAAGAAAATTAATTCTATCCCAGACGAAACCAGCACACCAAGCGAGTCCTACTCACTTACTCTGGGAGATTTTTAAATTAAAAATGAAGTTGGAGGCCCCGTGGCCAAGCGCACTCCAAGCAGACATGGCAAGTCCCATCCTGTCACAGAGGCAAGAACCCAAAGCACGCTTTGCAGACTAAGCACTTGCAGCAGTACTCAGAATTAGGGAACTGCGTTCTACTGGACCTCTCCCACTGCTCATGCTAAGGGTGTTACCACATTTGTGAGTTTGCATTTTCATACACTTGGCCTCTATTTCAAAATTATGGCACAGGGGTCACAGAGGAGCTGGTAGGGATTTAGCCCATCATCATAAAATGTGGTTTGTTGCTGCATGCTTTGCTACAGTGAAAGGAGGTTTCAGGAGTCCTAGCCACATCTCCACCTACAACGTTCACACTGCTCTCCAGCACAGCTGCCCTAAGCAGCTCATCTGTGAGCAAAACTAGCACTGAGCTAGCTCAGAGGTTTTTTTACTCTGAAACAGGGACCTGCTTATGGCAAAGAGGGAAGAACAGCCAAATACCTGCTGCAACAGGGGTAGCCGCAGCTGACAGCCTCCAACTTTAAGCAACAAGAGAATCTTTCACTCACAGGAAAGCCAGAATATTTAGCAGTGGTACTGCCCCAAGAGAAAGCTACTCTCTAATCCACAAATTGCAGCTGAGGACAAGCACAGGGCAAGAAGCAGGCAGCACTCTCCCTGGGGCCAGCATGTTGTCATTCAACTCTGTTTTAAGGTGTGGGACTGACATCTGTTTGGAGCTTTTAGCCTTCTTTCAAGATTACCAGCAGCAAAAGCAGTGCATACGCAGTGCTGGAAAGGGGATACTTTCATCCAGAAATATCCTCTCCCCATCAACAAAGGCATCACCAGTGCTAGCACCTCCACAAGGATATCGTGGCAAGCAAGCTGTTCAAACCCATCTAGAAACTAATTTAAGGGAACATGTTTCAGACATGATTCTATGAATTGATGTACCTCTGGGTTCTCCCTCTGATCTTCTTGCTGGCTAGTCTCTTCTCAGGATTGTTGGAGGACGACACCAAGTCTCCTTCATGCTGCTTTTGCAGGGGAGCTTTCCTGGCAGCACTGGCTTCGCTACAGCTACTAGCACCATTTTCTGCAAGATAGCGGAAAGTCCTACGGGGCTTGGGTGGTGGGACAGCAGCTGGCTCCTCCTCTTGCCCCTCAGCCTCAGCATAAATGTTTCTTAAGCTCCCCTCTGTCCTGCAGAGAGTGTCCACTCCTTTGATTTTAAGTTCTCTTTCTGCAGAGCCACAGCTCCCTCGCTTCCTGTGAAGGTCCGAGGGAAGTGGTGGGGCTTTGCCAGGCAGAAGGGGATCTATTCTCCTCCACAGAGCTTGTGAGGTATAGAAGTTCCCCGGGGGCAGTGTCACGCCTGGGTCCAGGAAGCCTGCTTGCCACTCTCCCTTCTCCTTGGCTTGGGAAGCCAGGCTGCAGGCACAGGGCTTGAGGTCACCACAGTCATCAGCCTGCAAGCAGCTCTGTGTATCTTCCCTGAAGTCCAAACCCAGGCTCTTTGGATCTTTGGACCCAGTCTTTCTGCCCTCTGTATGTTCTGGCTTCGCTTTAGGTAGAGCGTCGCAGCTGGGATCATACCTTACTCCGAAGTCCTTTAGCTGCTGTTTCTCCTTGCTGGAGCATCCTCGTGTCCTCCCCTCCCACTGGGAGATCTTCTGTTTGATGTTGCGGCAGTGGCTCCGGGAGAGGGTCTGCACAGCAGAGCGGGAGAAGCTACCATCCACTGACCCTGTTGGGTGCATGGCAAGTGCCAATGTGCTTACAAACACCCCATCCCCAGCCTTGTCCAGGTCCACCCGTGTCCTGCACACATCAAGCTGGCACGTGACTCCAAAGCACCCAGTGGTGTCCAAGAGCCCCTGGGTGTCAGCTCTGCAAGGACTGCCTGCTAGCACAACCTGCGGACAAAAAGAAGAAAAGAACCATCAGCTGCACTCCAGCCATACACACCACCGGGAGCTCCCAGCTGCTCTCTGGCAATTGCTGAAGAACATTCCTCCCCAAATCACACGTATGATCCAGATGACTGGCTTCCAGAGCACGCTCCCCACAAAGCCTGCTTCTGTAACGCATATCTGGGAGGGCTAACAAAAGGAAGTAGAGGTCTCACTGACTTAAAAAACAAACAAAACACCACAACAGGAACAAAACACAGCCAGGGATCCCAAGGGTCCAAACTCAAGGAAATCATTTAATGCCACAGGAACACAGCAGCACGGCCTGTCTGCAGCCGAGCGCTCAGCCAGCCCCTCTGCTGCTTGCTTGCACCGACCCAGGCGAGGCCGGAGTGCTGTTTCTCCTGATGCTCTGCACTGCTCAGAGCACCTCAGGCAGCACACAGCCAACCCACGACAGCGCAATGTCTCTACCAGAGCTCTCGACAGAGCAGAGACACAGCAAGGCATAGCATAACATGCCAGCTCTATAGAAGGGGAACCACATCTACTCCTCCAGAGGACAGCTGCTGCTTCACAAAGGAGAACCAGGACAGTTGTGATGGCTGGAGAAGAGCCCAACTGCACTCCTCCCCCCAGGAGTGCTCTCCTGCTGCACAAGACAAGTAAAAATCTGTCTAATGTTCTGCTTGTCAACACCTGGCCTAAATTTGCCATTGGAGAGACTGGAGGGCAGTGATACCCAGCCTGTAGCATACAGCCAGGGGAAGTTTTAGAAAGCACACAACTTAGGCCAAAAGGCAGAGACAATCGGTGAGATCTGACGCCCAAGAGGGAAACAGCCCTGTGTTTAGATCAGCAGAGAAGGAATGCTAAAGAACCACTGTGACTTCTCCTACCCAAGCAGAGGCTGCGCAAACGGGAGCTATGCTGTTTGCGACTGCCCCAACGTATAACCCAGAGGATACAGCAAAGTCCTCCAGATAGTCCTGCAGCAAGAAAGGCAGGTGAAACCACCAGGGAGAACCTGGTGACTGTACAGACCCCACACCTACAGGTCCGGTATGACCTCAGTACAGACATCTCTTACGTGGAATCCCCAGGCACAAAGCCCTTTGGCTCTACCTGTAGCTCACAAGGCATCCCCAATATTCTCAGACATGCCAGCACAACTGAAAACTCATCTTGGACAGAAGACAGCAGCCCATAGGCTCTAATACGCTCTGTTCCTCCCCTTCTCCAGGCAGTTACCCCATTTCAGAAGTTCCAACCCTCCAAGTCTATCTAACATTCTCCATTTATATGAGGAGACAAGTGCTCAGCAAAGCTCAGGGTCAGGCCAGGTCGCCATGCAGCAAGCTTGGCCACACTGGCTTCAGTAACATTGCCCTGGCACCAAGAAGTCTCCCTGCAAAAGGCAGAACAAGAGCAGCAAGCAGTCTCCATTCCACACATGCCACAAAAACAGAGGACCTCTGCAGAAAGCAAGCCAGATTTGCTCCAGGTGGGAACACAGGCCATAGTCAAACAAAGGTTGTACTCGGGCTCTGCCCAACAGATCCAGCAGGCTCTCACTGCCAAAAACTGGGCACATGTCCTCCAAAACCACTATTACAACACCCAGTTTTCATTGACTCACCAGAGCTTGTAAGAATTTGCAGAACCAAAGATGGGAAGCAAACCAAGCGGGAAGACAGAGGAGCTTAAACCTGCCTGACAAGGGTTCATGCCCCATGCGCCAGGCTGGGTGTGGAGAGCTCCTGCCACAGCAGAGGCTGCGTCCTTCCCGACATTGATACTGCACCTCGAACTCCAGGGCTCCAGCGCTACCAGCTCTACCCCTGGTGTTGCTGATCTGCTTGGCAGAGGCATTTGCGGTGCAATTAAAAGAAAAGCACTGGCCTTGGCAGACCTACTTGATATACTTAGAAAGCTCACTGAAATAACACAGCCCAGGGCTCCCCAAGCACTTCAGCGATGGCGTGGGTACACACAGCACCAAGCCTTGGCTCTCTGCTGCACTTCCACACTCCCTACCAAAGCAGCATGGCTTGCTGTGGCAAGAAGCTCGCTGTTGCCCGCCTGCAGAAAGAACAGTGTGGGTTCTTGCAGTCTGGCATTGCTTACCACATCGTCCCAGACAGCTACTGGTAACTCTCCCACTCGGCAGAGAATGGGCTAAACTTAGACAATCTGCATAAGCAACCGAACTGGGGATATCTGCTGTATCATCAGACCTCTGTCCCTCACCAGCATTCTGCCCTGTCCTCAACACTTTCGTAGCCACCCCAGCCTCTGACCACCACATCTCCAAAGAAGCGAGGTGAAGCTGCCACTGTGCAGGTGGCACTGCGGCTCTGGTGCCAGCTCCGGCGCAGCACCGCACCCGATCCCTACTCCTGCCACAGCAAAGTGGAGGCAAGGCACCAGCAAACAGAAGAGGGCTGCTGATCCCCTCATGGAGCGGTGGGGAGAGAGCAGAACAAGTGCGAGAATGACAGAGAACACACAAAACAGCGAAGCACACCTACCCCACTCTCCCCAACTCCCTGGCCCAGGGTACTGCACTGCTTCTGCAACCCCTCTGCGAGACCCTCTTCCCGCACAGCCAGGCTGCTCCAGGCAGCAAGGGGCCCCTGCCCCCTCCTATAAATAGGCACTGTTTCCAAAACATCCTGAGCCAGAGCAGAGCCATCCTTCCTCGATCCCTGTCTGCACAGCCCTGATTAGCAGACAGGAAAGCAACTGTCCCCCTTCCTGCGCCACTGCAGCTACTCTACAGCAACGATGCTCAGGGCTGCTCCTCAGGACCTGAAGCACAAGCTAGCAAGGACACAAAGGCTCTGATGGGGAAAGCCAGGCTAGGAGAGTGGCAAAACAGCCTCCTCTCAGCCAGTACCAGCAACTGAGAAACACAGGGGAGAAGCCCAGTCCCAGCCAGCATACAGGTACTGGTGAGACTACGTCCGCAGTGCTGCCTCTGCTTCTGCTCACTGAGGAATGCCCAGAGTTCAAGCAGTTCACCCAGTGCTCAAGCAATTACCTGACTGGCATCCAGAGCTACTTAGACCTATATGCAGAAACAGGATCCACATGGAGTTTATTTCCTCTCCTTCAGCATAAACCTCCCAAGTATTATTACCTCCCCAGCCAGTGAACCTCCACGCACTGGCTGGACTAGTATTACTTCGAAGGTGAAGTAATCAGCTTCACTCACCTAAGCAGCTGTACAGTTTTGAGTGCCACAGCGAAGGTCTTTCCAAGGCATGCCATTGATCTTTGAACTACCAGATACAAACTAGAAACACGTGGCTCCCGGCTCACCGTCAACACCGACAGTAGAGCACAAGCTTACCTGACGTTCTCTCCTGCCCAGCTACAGCCCTGAACTGTGTCTTCCAAAATAACCATCATAGGAGAAGAATGCAGCTCTTGCCTGTCCAGGCTTGCAAGGCAGGTGGCTGCTATCAAGAACTAGGCATTTCATCTAAGTTTATCACACGAGCCAGGGCAAGGGTAGAGACTCATCTTTGGTGAAGAGCGAGCAGGCTGGGGTGGTCTGATCCAAGCTAAGCCTCTGAGATAGGCCAAAACACAGCTTAGGGACACAGAACTGGTAGGGACCACGAGTCAGGCAGCTAGCACTTGTACCTCAGGGACCACATGCACCATTTCTTTCACAAACTAACCAGACTTAACGTGACTGTTTCTCTCCTGACTTCTTCCAGACTCCTTCACTGCCTCAGTCTGCTTCCCAGTATCTCCACAGAAGCCAAATTTATTATCCCTACTGCATTAGTACTTACAGAAGTTCATTATAGCCAAGAAATTGAAAGCAGTAGCTTTGGGGGAAGAGAAATTAAAGCATTTCTAGACGAAGTATCACACGTTTCTCCCAAAAGACAGGCCCTCCAATCCACGCTGTTTGAAGACAGCTTCCATATCTTTATCCAAAGCAGAAGAATGAGCCACATTCACACCACATGATAGGGAGCCCTGACTCTTTTTTCCAATTCTGAAAGCCAGAGAGCATGTTAAGCATTTTCCATGCAAAGTCTCAAGACAGTTCTGTTTCCTGAAACCACATGCTCAAGGGGAGAATGCTGCCAGTGCTGTTCAAGAATAAAATACTCTTTGATGCTGAGGTCAAGCCCACCCACTGCAGGTGCTGCTGGTGTCCCCCCAGTCCCCCTTTCCACACTCACGCCAGCACCCGATTAGCTAAACCAAGGCACTAACACATCACCTTACCTTATCCTGCTGCACAACAGGCATGAGAACATGCAAATCACTGACTTGGCAAGCCCATGCAGTTCTGAAGCAATCTTTCGCTCCTTTTATGAGAGCCGTGTCACCAAGCCCCCTGAGTAGGCAGCAAATAAAAGACAGTTTCTGGTCTTCCGAAGTCTAGGGAAGGTGCCAGCTCAGCCCTGGAGGGATGAGGGGATGGCCAGCACAGCAGCAAGGACCCCTTCCAGAGTTCTCAGCTGCTCCCATTCTGTTCAACTCCAGAACAAACCTGAAACTTTTCTGAATAAAACTCTGCCATGCTGATGCCTGAAGTCATGGGCAGTACCAAACAGGCAGATTTTATATCAAAATAAGTAACGCTTCAGGAATGCGGTATGCTTAGTCACTTCCATCTCGACACAACGCAGCTCTAGTTATTAACTCGTTCAAAGCTTCTGCACGTTATGCTGAGGAATGGAGTGCCACCTCACCAGATGTATAGCCATGTAGAGCACAGCCCCTGGACACAGTAAACATGATGCTAATCTTAATACACAGCGAAAGGAGGTTCAGTCTGACCTCTGCCATGGGTCCTAAGACTTTTGTACTGACGAGAAAGATGTATCTGGACCTTTCAACTTTTGTCTTTTTCTGAAGTGATAAAATACAACTTCTTGAAAGTAAGTGTTTATCCATGCTAAAAAACCCACTTTAAACATGTAAGCCCTGAAGACTTTTATACTAGAGGGGACACAGACAGAACCAACAAGAGACTATTTTTAAAGTCATGGGTTTTTAACCTGAATCACAGTATCTGAATGCTCAGGTTAGCAATACTGAAGGCAGCAGTTGACTTTGATGCTATACCACAGGCTGGCTGCACGCCCTAGGAATGCTGCAGCTTCACACAAGAACGAAAGCTCAAGGTGGGGACAGAGAGAAAGTGAAATTCAAATATGAGTTCTCCTGGAGCCTTTTCTTGGTGCAACCATCAGAGGTGAGATTCCAGGCTTCCCCCAGGGCTGACATCACCAGAAAGCCACGGCCACCTTTATGTTACGAGGGCCACTGCAGATAGGCTGTGTGGGGCCACAACAACCAGATGCTCGTTCCTTTGGAAAAGTCTCAGCAGCGTGGAGGCAGCTGCCCCAAGAGGTTTGGAGGGTGCAGACCAAGGCAGCACCAGAAAACCTCTCAGGCACACATCCAGATAACGTGTTCCCAGAGCTACATGGAATGAGCCACATCCATACTGGAAGACTAAGATAAGAATTTTGCCAAGCAGCAATGTGCAGAACTAGGACTCAGCACTCCAGGACAGATCCTCCAGCCAGCTGTATCAGGCAGGAATCTTTTACAAGGCCGCCACCGCCACCATTTATTCCCCCCATACCCGACACCTCAGATGTTCTCTGCATGTGCCTTCGCTTCAAGGCAAACTGGAGCACACAGCCCAAGAGACACGCTTTTTGGGATAGGGCGCCCAGCAGGTTGCCCAGGACCGTGCTCGGCTTTTGACTGTGTCCAAGGAGGGCGACTCCGCAGCCGCCCTGGGCAGCCTGTGCCAGCGCTCGGTCACCCTCGGAGCAGAGAAGCGCTCCTGATGCTCAGAGGGAACCTCCCGTGCGCCAGGCCGTGCCCACCACCTCCAGTCGCACCACTGGACGGGCCTGGCTGGGTCCCCTTCGCACCCTCCCCTCAGGCAGCTGTACGCACCG